TTCAATTGTGCTGGCATTCGATAGTGTATTTGGTAGTGTATCTTCAGAGGTTTCGGCAGAAGCAAGAAGAAGGTTCGTGCAGCGTTTAACACCTTCAAACCTCTCTGAATCAACACATCTTTTGACCTATTTTATTTTTCGAGCTCCTGTAAAGCCACTCCGTTTGTGTCATTGCAGCTAGCACCTCTGCTGCATTCAGGTGTCCACCAGGCCATGATGTCCCGTTGGCTCTACTGCCCCGCAAATGGAGATATTGTGTTAAAGGCACAACCCAGGCAGAGGTCGTGTGAACGCTTCTCTTCGGTCTGTAGTATAGACCCCTAGAGGACAATCACAAATGTGGCGTTCCCGTGCACGGAAACCAACCGACAAGAGCGCTTGGGCCTTGCAAAGTAAGCTGCTGAAGCTGCAGATTTTTTCTCTTATCAGGCTGTTGTCTGGCGCTCTCTCATCTGTAGCGCTCTCTCGCCTCATACTCTCCTCTCCGCGCTTAGTCTCTCATTCCCTTAGCACAGCCGATTAGGAAGGTGAGTGAGCCCTTAACCTGAGCGTTTTCGACGGATTCTTTTCCTTTTTTCTTCACTGCCGGCCCACTTCGCACCAATACATTCGCATTCGTGTGCAAGAGCCACACCAATGTGATCCTGGGGCATGCCTTTAAACAACGTTAGCATTCATTTCGATAAATTATTCGGAAGATCTACACGATCTCGTTATTAGTCGTATTATCCCTGATTGACGACCACATAAGTGTGCGCAGTCTTGAGCGAACAGTGTTACATATATGTTGGACATTTTCATTCTCTCACATAAAAAGATTCCTTGACAAAAATTTTTGTGTCTATATTGAAGAGGGTCGGTGCTGATATCGGTGAGGGGGACTGGAAACCTGACCAGCGGCGCGTGCTCGCGCCAAAGAAGCAGATGTCCGGCGGACTATCCCAGCGGCGTGCTGTGGCCGATGTAGGAAGTACAATAGCACGTTTAATGAACTGAACGCGAAACCAACTACAGTTCCGTCAGCTGTGGACTCGCCCCGGTGACTCTGCCTCTTTGCCCGCCGACAAGCTCTGTCGTACCGCGGGACCACGCGGCGGCGCGGCGCTCTGTTCGTCTGCTCCTCCAAGGCTTAGTCCACCGATGACGCGTATCTCGAAACTGCCACGTGGCGACGAAATAGTAACTGCCTTGGACTAAGCCTTAGAGGAGCAGACGAACAGAGCGCCGCGCTGCCGCGTGCCCCCCCCCCCCCAACTAAGTTAGCACCGAAAGATCTGGGTCTGAGCAATCTATGCGCATAAACACTACTGTATTTGACCAGGAGGGAAGCTGCCTGCAGGAACAAAAGCAGGCTTTCGTCAAGAAGGTGAGAAGGCGCCAGACAACAGCTTGATAAAAGAAAAAATCTGCAGCTGCAGCAGCTTACTTTGCAAGGCCCTAGCGCTCTTGTCGGTGATTTCCGTGCACGGAATGCCACATCTGTGATTGTCCTCTAGGGTCTATCCTACAGACCGAAGGGAATCGTTCACACGACTTCTGCCTGATTTGTAAGTCTATGGGTTATTAGGCGCAAAAATTGTGGGAAAAAGGGCCACAATTTGTCCCAAGACTTGTGCAACAACCCACTAAATCTCCTTTTGCTCTTGGCTACTGCCACTGGGAGAACCAGATTAGTGTTTGGATAGAAACACTAACAAACCAACACATTAATGTCATCCGGTTTCCATAAAGCATTCATGGAAAGCATTATCCACACAATAGCCTTCTCTACGAGGTTGCCCATGTTTATGACACTGAAGCAGCCCAATAAAGACAACTGAGCGATTCTTAGGCGTTCCCGTTTCGGACAGACTACCGGCAGCGATCAACCCATTGTTGACCGCCGTGGTGTTGCATAGATAGGGGGGCAAAAAGTCACTTTGCTCGTAATTCACATCATCAAAGGCACACTCTGTGATCAGAATGGTGTGGCCTTGTACACGAAAACGAAAGCATTACTGAGAAAAGGGCGGGCGTAAAGAGAAAATGAGAGACTGAGCAGAGAGGAGAGATTACAGGCGAGAGAGCACAACAGATGAGAGAGCGCAGACACCAAAATGTCGCGGGTGCGCAAAATGCAAGCGGTCTAAGCGGTATTTTACGGCTCTAGCACCCTTGTTGCGCACTTTATAGCTGGAAGAAAGGGAGATAAACGAGTCCGGTAGGCATCTCTATCCTAGTCTATTAAAGCAACATTCCCAGCAGGGTCTGCTGCTTCCAATACTATGGGACTAAAGGATGCACAGGCCCTATGGAGAACATATGAAGTGTAGTTATAAAGAAAACTCACCTGGGAAAGCCGCAAAAAGGGCGTAAACTCCTCAAAGATGGGTGTGGTTGGAAATTCTTCGGGAACGCCCACTTGCCAGCCGTGATTGGCTGCGGAGGCATTCTTGACGTTTTGGGACCACACGGAGTATTTAACTCGGTCCTTTAAAGCAATCGATGTGGTGCTGCAGTTTTTTTGACTTTTCCCCGGGGAAGGCAATCTTCGAATGATCGCTATATCTTCCGAATTACTTTTCAGGAGCATGCTTCGTTCGACGTATTGGCAGGTTCAGACAACTCGTCCAACACGCGTCTTCCTCCATTGCTAAGTGGCAGAGGGGGAGTCCCTGTCTAAGTCCCTGTTCGACGTTTTTCTTCAGTTTTTTCTTTACTGTCGGTTAACTTTTAACCTGAAACTACATTATCAACGATTTTTACCCCGCGAATTTGGTCTGAGATTGTTGCAATTGTCACCTGAACTCTTCGTGGGTTATGCCTCCAAAGTTCAGGAGAGGACGTAGATGGAAACTTCACGGGAATATCTATTGAAACGTCTATACAAGCAAAAGAATTTTCCTGTCTGTTCTCCTTATCGTCTTCAAATGATGGAGGGATCACAGTTGTCGAAGAGCTCAGGGAGGCCTGTGGTAGTTGCAGAAGGCTGACGACCTTCTGTTGAGAGGTTTCTCGGACCACACTGCTTTTGAGATCGCTGGCACCCTCAGCGTCGCCCACTATGGGCCGCGATCTCACTCCACTAGTATTTGAACCACGGCCAACCGTCGCCTTCGCACTTTTCCAAAAATTTGGCGACCCCCCCCCTTCCCTCACCACCAGTATTAGGAGAGACTCTATTTAGTCCCCGCTCAACCTCGCTTTCCAGGCGAATGCCTAAAGGAGGATTTCGCGATAAGAGCGAAGGTCGAAAAGGGGAAACTTACCCAGTGGAGAGACAGGCGGACCCCCTGAGGGTGCGGACCAACACGCAATTCGCATCGAAGGATATGCCCCCGGCGATCTAGCATGGCCTTCCCTTTGGCGCATTGGCCCGGAACGCCCAACCCCTTATGTAATCATTCGCCGCAGATCTATACGCGAGAGAGCGTTGGCGTTGAAGAGGGCAGCACCGATGAGAGTCGCATCAATGCGAAATCAACGGGCAAGGAAGGGGTCCCATTTCTCGGGTTCTGGGCCGTTTCTCATGGTTTTTCCTTCATTCCAGCACACTGATCATCTCTACCTTGACCCAGTTGACAATCGATGTCGACCAGAAAATCCAAATGAAAAACCAATGTCGAAATCCCAGTCGACAATAAGGCGTTTCGACCTGGTGGGATGAAATTTTCTTTATATCTGTTCCAAGGATCACTTATGAAAGTACCAGCACAACTCAAAGCAAGAGCCCTATATCAAATTGGTGGGATAAACGTGGTTGCTAAAAAATGGTGTACAAAGAGAAAGAAACCGCCGATGAAGCCATCAACAAGGACCACCTCTCTTCTCCATCTAGATGAGGAAGAGGCGTGTCTGGACGAGTTTCCTGAACTTGCTTGCTCCATGGCTCCACCACTCTGCGCATCCTAGAATTATCCGTCACATCGTATCAACACTGCATGCCAGTCGCGACAGCGGCAATTCTGTGATAGCAGTGGGCAACTCTTTCCTACCCACAGATTAGATTGCCCTACGCGGCCTCATCTGAGGGTTGTTTTGAAGGTACGTCGTACGGAAAATTGGTCATCGATCGATTTGCCAAGCTAGAGATGGTAAGGCCCTGTTCAGAGATGTCCGCTTAGGCGAAAAAACGCATAGGCGAAATAAAATAAAATATGTATCGACTGAGCGAAGACGCACAGGAGAATCGTGAAGTGGGAGGATCGACGAAAATGAGTATCATACGCATCGACTTCCGAACGCTTCGCTCACGCGATTTTCCGCCTGTGCGTTTCTCACAGTCGATACATATCAAACTCTTGACTGAAATTCGCCTGCTCCGGACGTTTCGCTTACGCGTTTCACAATTTCTCAATCGATGCCTATCTAAATCTTGGCGGAGATTTCCATTTATTTCGCCTCTGCGTTTTTTCGCGTAAGCGGACATCTCTGACAGGGCTAAGGGCAGCAGTGACGCAAAGTAGAGAAAGTGCTCAAAACCCGTTAAGTGGGACTTCTTTTGGTGTTTGACTTACCTCTTTACGCGAGCTCAGTCAATGCTGAGACCAACGGCTGAACTCTCCTCTGAATCTCTAACAACAGCGGCTCCACGAGCCCGAGCGGCGAGGAGGCAGCAGCTGGTTAGCTTATCGGTGGGCGGGCAGAGTACAAGGCGTCAAAGGGATGGTAGAGGCCTAGCCAAGCCGCTATGGGCGCTCTTCTCGTAAGTTTTGCCTTCTCGGGGGTACAGAACTTCTTCATAGAAGACACATTTGTCTTCCTCCGACTCAAATTAATCGTGCACCTCCTTTATAACCAGGTGGAATAAGTTGAGTATAAACAATTGTTAAGACGTGGCAAGTAAAAATGGGATGATAAATTCATTTGATATTCCTAATGACTACCTGAATGGTTTTCCTATTTACAGAGCTTTTCTTTCATTTTTCAAGGCCGTTTCGAGGTTTTTTCAGTTCACACTCATCCTTCCTCATAGGAAACCCTTTACTTTTCAGGGATATGCGAACCATGCATGGCAGCTGATGATGGAAAGCTCAAAGGAGACTCCAGTAGCGAAGCGCTCTATCGACCATTCTTCGGATACGAATGAAACGAAAAGAATAGTTGTAAACGACATATCGGAATGCCCTCATGGTCCTCCAGGTCCCCCAGGAAAACCGGGAGCCCCTGGATCAGATGGTGAACCCGGCAGAAAAGGATATCCAGGATCACCAGCTACGCCATGTCTTGCGTACAAATGGGACAGTTGTATTCGCTGTCCCTACGGACCACAAGGGCCACCTGGACCCGATGGACCTCCAGGACATCCTGGACGTCAAGGAAACGACGGTCGCATGGGAATGTATGGAAAGCAGGGCGAACCCGGCATTATTGGACCACCAGGAGCTAAAGGTGCTCCGGTATGCCCGGGATGCCTGGCTGGCCCGGAGTTCCTGGTCGAAACGCCCAAGCAGGAAAAGGAAGACGTGGACCGCCTGGAATGGTTGGTGACGAGGGACCAGCTGGAGCGAGAGGAGCTCCTGGTCCGCCAGGTTTGACTGGAATGCCAGGACTTGTCGGAGCAATGGGAACTGCTGGTAATCCGGGCGGACCAGGTCCAAATGGAGTGCTCGGGATGGAAGGCATGATGGGCTATCCCTGGACCTGATGGCACTTATTGTAAATGTCCCAAACGTTCCATAAATTATGAATTCGAGAACAATAATGACGACGATGACGACGATGGTGATGTGGTTAAGAAAAAGCTACGTGGTAAAATTTAACATGCTTTACATGCTTTCTGTACAGTTGTTCATAAATATGAATAAATATAGTATTATTTATTTTGTTATTCAAACATCAAAGGCAAGCCCCGGGATGAAACTGGTGAATAAGAGCGCTTCGTAGTGATGACTGAGCTGCTTAGTGAATTGAATGTGGAAAGGAAAGCAAGAAAAAACTTTAGGGACGCTAAAATTAGTAGAGCTTAAAGGGATGATGTGAATGTTTTGGTGCGAAATGGGCCAGCAGTGAAAAAAGGAAAAAAATCCGTCAAAAACGCTTAGGTTAAGGGCTCACTCACCTTCCTGATCGGCTGTGCTAAGGGAATGAGAGACTATGCGCGGAGGGGAGAGTATGAGGCGAGAGAGCGCTACAGATGAGAGAGCGCCAGACAACAGCCTGATAATCGGAAGAATCTGGGCAGCTTCAGGCGCAGTATTTTGGCTAGGCTCAAGGCCTCCGCTGTGGCTTGTTTCGGCGGTAAGGGGCATGATGACGCCACTTTTGTGATTATCTCTCAGGGGTCTATAATGCAGACCGAAGAGAAGCGTTCACAACGACTCTGCCTGGGTTGTGTTTTAAGCTCAATTAAGCTCGGATGTGGTGCGATGGCGAGGCAGGATGACGAAAGATGACAAAACGTGCGAGAGAGCACGCACGATCTCTACATAATCGCGGTGGGCGGAGAGCGTTGCAACGGGGGTCGATGGTTTGAGGCCCGTAAGGATTAGCGACCTAATCGCGCGATTTTTGCGACGAAGCTGAAGTGATCTAGGTAGGTACGGATCTACAATTTCCCTCGCGGTATCCTTCCCACAAATCGGGCTAATCCCGGGGTTTTCCCTTAAGAATTCTTAGTGTCAGGACTGTCGAAACATAGATTTTGAATGGATTTTCCTGCCTCCTATAGTTCCATTTCATTATTACCTCTAGCCAAGCATTAGCAGAGATGGTGTAGTGGAAAGTGGCTCAACTACTGCGTATGTGATGCTGAAATCAAATCTCGGGTCGAATATCACCCAGGTCAACCAAGCCTTCGAAGCCTTCGGGGTCGGTTAGGTAACCAACCTAGGAATGTATAAAAATATGGCTTCTATATCGGCTTAACCCGCACTGTGTATGCGCCTGATTGGAGCGATTAGGTTGAGTCAAAAATAAGGCCGATTCGAACAATCGTTTCAAATTTCTAAACTCCCTTTGGCCGCCATCTCTTATCGAGGCGCCATATTCACCAACACGTCTACAACTGCATCCGCTTTCACGTAGCTCAGTAATAGATACCTCCCACCCCCCCAATTTCCTACGCCTCCGACGTCGCAGGATAAGTGATGGTGGTGTTCGCCACATGCAGTTTTTCTTATTTAGGAAACGGTCAAACGAGCAGAACAATTGGAACGGTGGTAAAGAACCCGCAATCAAAGGTGGTGATCAGAGGTCTCGGCATGGAATAAAGAATGAAACAACCGCGAGACCCTGTAAGTTAATCAACGAGCTCCCCTTACATTGTTTGCAAACGCCGCGCCAATCCCCTTCTTGAGATCCCTGGACATAAAAATAGGTTTTTTCGATATTAGAGCTGCTATGGGGTTAACGTGGCTAATGCGTTCGGGAGCGCTTTAGATTTGCAAGCAAACCATGACTCTTACCTGAGGTAATCACGACATGTTAACCCTGAGTGAACCCGGAGTTAACGCGGAGCTAACCAGGAGCTGAGAGAAGTTACACTTGGACCCCTGATGATTGTCAAATACATCAGTGGATTAGAAAAGGAACAGAGATCCATGAAGCGCAAGTTTATTTTGGGGATTTGCTCGTGAATGTGACTTGGCGAGATGCCTCGCAGCGGAACGATTTCATTTATTGGAAGCCTTAATTCTGCCATACCCAAAGCAAATCTACGCAGCTGCCACAGCAGGTGTCTACCCAACCAATGGTGATGTCGTCAAGTTTCGAGTCTTCAGTGACGCAAACCAACAACTGATGGACCTACTTTGGGTAAAGGTCACCTCTTAGAGCTCATTGCTGTCTGAGCTGTCTGAGCTGCATGTGCCACAAAAAGCGTATGTTGCTTTGATCGACTGGGAATTTCCCACATTCAGTGACCCCATTTCAAGTCAGTCGGAACAATGACTTTTACACAGCAAACTTCGGCAAGATGTTCACAAGTGTCCTCCGAACAACCTCGCCCTCAACTCGTGCGGATTCTTTCTTTCCAGAGTTCACAATTTCCCCATGGTCCCAAGGTCACAACTCATGGTGCCCCTGGGAAGACGGCAGGTTCACTGTAATGATGGCTACTGGCTTGCAGTTTTAGTTCAAGAAGTTCTTATGGTTAATAGCGTAAAACATCTACGGTCAAGGTATTCGGAACGCAGTTGTCTTCAGGGCTGTAGTTGTCCAGCCGGTACTTTCCAGACCACTTTCGAACACTTTCCTTCTAACCTGTCTGGTCCTTCAGCTTCACAATTGTCGTGATAAGTTTCACTCGCTGTGCCCCAGATGGAGCTCATAAAGTAGACAGTGACGAACATGACTTAAAGGCAATTTCCGGGATAGTGCCACTTGTAGGAAGGATACCATGAGGGAAATTGTAGGGTCCGTACTTACAGAGAGCGTGCCACGTCCAGCGCACAAAATGCGCGCCTAGGGCGCTAAGAGTTAAAGCAACAGTCTGAGCAGGACTTTTACCTTCAACGTGAAACGATGCGCTAGCCCTAGTCAAGAGCATAAGAAGTGTGACTGAACAAAAACTCACCTAGAAAGGGAGCTGAACGGCTTCGAAGTGGGCGTGGTTGCCGGCTGCAATCCCCTCGGCCGACTTCCAACCACGCCCACTTCGAAGCCGTTCAGCTCCCTTTCTAGCGGCTTTCCAAGGTGAGTTTTTTGTTCAGTCACACTTCTTATGTTCTTGACTAGGGCTAGCGCATCGTTCCACACCATTAGTGTCGAAGGTAAAAACCCTGCTGGGACTGTTGCTTTGAAGGGCTGCAACCGTAGACCTCCGTTGCAACACCGATCGCGATTGATGTGGAGATCAGCGTGCTCTCTCAAACGGCGTCTCTCTCGCGTGTTTTGTCTTCTTTGATCGCCCTGTCTCGCCATCGTACCACATCCGACCTTACTGAAGGTAAGGCCTTAATTTCAGCGTTTCCAAAGATTTCTCTTGCTTTCCTCCCTTTTCGTAGATACACTGAAGACAGTATTATCCACCAGTTTTTCGCCATCCCAGCGGTCTTCAAAATGAGCCGTTACCTTCTAGATCATTCAGCAAAAAATGCTAATCGCGACATATTCCTGGCGCGAACAAAGCAAACATTTTTCTTGAAAGGGAATAGCATGATGCGGGTGTAAAATAAATCGCGTCTTAATTATACTCAACCCAAATAAAAGTCCAACAAGAAGCGTCTTTAGGCTTCTTTGACAAAGCTGTGCGTCGCTCACATGTCTCATGATTTTTTGCCTTTCTTCATCATTAATCGGAAAGCCTCAAGTGCAGAATGACCTTAATTGTCTCGTCCATTGCCGAAAGCGATAAATCAGATATATGATTGAATGGAACGATGTTTGAATGAATGAGCTGATTGCAAAGGTTTCCGGATATCCTTCCGATGAAGGCGGCAAATAGGTGCCATGGTATAAATGGCAGTAAAATTACTGGCAGCACCTACATATACAAATTTTAAAATTTGTCGTAGACTCCTCGTCTGACTGTTCCACTAAAGTGCTAGTCACTGAACACTCTGCTACCGATAAGCCCTGATCACAAAGTGGTTAAGCCTTTCGCTTCGCGAAATTGCACCAATGAACCTCCAACAGAGTGCTATGCGAAACCATTCTTGAAGATTTTTCAAATCCACAAATTTTGTTCAAACAGCGTTCAAACTCGGTATTTGTCCAAAACCCTGGGCGTGTCTTTACTTTGAAGAGGAGTACGGCTGAATTCATGGAAGAGTTTGCTTCAGTACACTGACCGAGAATGGTCCAGTAACAGTGCATCGAGCAAACCCTCAACTTCATCAGTTATGACGAACGGCTCAATGGTTCTCGGAAAAGACCGATATATCTTCAAGTATGAGCTGCCTTAGAGGGGAAAGTCTGTTCTGTCAAGTACTGAAATTTAGAACCCTTTAACACGGCGCTTCTGAAATCCGCGTGGCGAACCAAAAAAAAAAAAATTGTCCATGAAAACACCTGAGTGACAGCCACGCGTATATCAAATGCTTAGAAAACTGCTTAAGGTTAAGCATCATATTGAAAAACGTTAATTGTTTCAAATGTCGTCAGTTTTCTAAAAAATTATTGTGATTAAATCGATTATCTAAAAAGCTATAATAGTCTCGAAATGCCAACAAAATGTTGGTGCACCAGTAATTTTGCCCCACCCTGTATAACTGGCAGTAAAACGCGAACGATTACTACAAGGGACGGTGGAGTGGCGAGTAACGTCACCTAGCACACCCTTAGCCTGGTGTAAAATTCCCGATTGAAATGTTCGAGTTGAACGAACGCTTTTCCTCTTCGCTGAGTTGACTAGTCAGCTCAAACTATTCTAAGAGGGCAAAACCGGTATTATTCACCAAACCTGCAGTGTCTGAAAATCACTGCACAGGCTTGATGGCATCCAGAATGCCGCTGAAGAAGTCCAGAAGTCCACAATGGTCGGAAGTAGGATGCATGGCGCATTAAAAAAGGATTGATGGACAGGGAATGTTTTTACAGCTGCAGATTGTTTCTGAAGCATTCCGCGTTCACCAGCCATTTTTCAATCGTTTTCGTGAACTGACCCAAGTAGGATATATGGCCTAATTGAGGACTGATGAAAAAGTGAAAACCTGATGAATTGTGTCATCCCTAACTCCAGTAGGGTTCTTTAGAAACTTGGCCGGT